GACTTTAACACCCTTAAGTAAATTGGCAGATTCACAACCAATTCCCCTTTCTTTGGCAATAAAACCATATGGACCCTTTGGTAATGGTACACGGACTGTCACAGACTTAGCTTTTCTCTTTACCATTTGGTCAACCCAGTTGACTATGGCCGATCCCTTTCCACTGGGAAGAGAGAGCTTTACTGGATATCCAATGTCATCATTATCAATGTCCATAAAGTTTTAGGAAGATGATCTTAGAAAATAGATAAGATCATTAAGGGTCTTGTCATAGTCTGCTTCATAGGAGTTCCAAAGAAACTCACTATGTGACTTAGAAAGTGATTGAACCACTAACTTTCTTAAGACTTTGACACCCAACTCTCCCGGCTTGTCAGCATGTGACTTCATCTCCAATATGTGATCACACCTAGACCTTTCCTTGCCAATAGGGCTTGAGTGACCTTGAACTTGTAGGTTAGGGAGAATAATTGTAGGAGGTGGAGGAAGTGAAGTTCCAAGATATTTGGGAAGATCATAGATATCTGAACTTGACATATTTTGGGAGATATTCAAGATAGTTGATTAAAAGTCCTTAATATAACACACAATATGAAATATTAAGGCTAGGACCCAACAAACTATTTTATAATTTGGAAGAGGGATGCCGTAATCCAAGCTATAGAATATTTGAAGGTAGGTAAATGATGATTCACCAATTTCCACCATGAAAAACGAAATAATTAATTAGGTTTTAATTGGATTTGAAATTCCTAGATCTTTGAGATTCATTGAACTGTTCAATGGCATGTTTCAATCTCGAGTGTTCCCTTCATTTTATGACTGTGATGCCAAGGATCACAAAACAAGGTGTGAAGTAACCATGCAAATTACTTGGTACCCTTAAGTGTTTACCCCTCAATAGATGTGCCGGTTAACCACACACGCTCCATCGATACTATGATAAACATTAAGTTACCCTTTGCCTAGCTTGTTAAATACGAGTTAGTGTGCCGGTTAACCACACACACTCCACTAACCAACTTAAACAAAGTGCAAAGTGTAATTTCATGGATTTGCACCTTATTCACATTTTTCTAAGTAACTAAGATTGGGTATTATTAAGAGTTTAGTTACTTAGTATTTATCATTAATACTTTTAATGAAGGGAGAATTATAGTCCTGTCAAACCCGTTCGGCTAACGACCCCCCACCAGTCAAGGAAGCGGTGGGTGAGAGTGGACACCCATTAAACTGCCATTTTATAGGCACTAACCTTATACCCCCCTTATAGACCAGCTTCGTGAATGAGGCCTACTAACGGTAAGACTGACTTTACTCTTATACACACACACACACACACACACACACACACATATATATATATATATATATATATATATATATATATATATATATATATATATATTAACTTATAATATTATAAAGTATAAGGGTTGAATTTTAACTTTTAAAATTCTCAGGGCTAACTTGGAATTAAAGTATTCATAAGTGAAAACTTTTCAAATTCCAAAACTTGAGGGCAAGTTTTGAAACTATTCACAACTAATTAATTCCATAACTTATGTGTTTAAAGTAGTTTTATTCCAAAAACTCTTCAAGTTCCATAACTTGAGGACAAGTTATGGAAGACTTTAAACTAATAAAAGAATTAACTTTTCTTTATTTTATAACTTATGGAATTAATTAAGGTTACACTTTTTTTTTATTTATTATTTAATGAAGAGACTCTTGGTTCTCCATAACTTGAGGACAAGTTATGGAGTCATAAAACCATTTAATAAGGAAAGACTATTCATTTTTTTTTTTGTAACCTAAGGCATTTTTTATGAGTTTTAAGATTCATAAATGTGACTTTTCATATAACTTGAGGACAACTTACAAAAACATATTTTATGAACAACTTTTAGATTAATTTGGATTGAAAACTATTAACACATATTTTTCATTAATCTAAAAAATAATTCATAAAATAGGGTAACACAAAAAAAACTTTTGGATTCCGTAACTTATGGAGTTTAATGTTTCTTTTATGATGAAACTTTTCATGTTCCATAACTTAAGAACAAGTTATGGAATTCCTTAAAACATTAAGACCAAGTTTTGTAACTCCATAAAAAACTTTGAATCATTTCTTTTAAAAACCTTTTCATATCCATAACTTATGGAGGTTTCAAAAAAATCTTTAGATCAAACTTTTAAAACTAATAAAATAATCATATAATTTTACCTTTTACAAAATTTGACCTAATCCAACTCATATAGAAAATGATTCAAAATTTATAAATAATTAGTTTTTCACAAAAACAAGTAATTATCTTAAAATTTGACAAATGTCATGTTTTTTTTTTCCTTTTTTTTTTCAAGTTTGAAAATAAAACATTTGCATTAATATAACAGAAAACAACCAGGCTCTGATACCACTGTTGGGTTTTGAGCATTCTAACACTCCTATGGTGTACATGCAACCCTATAAACCTTGGATCTATGTTTTCTCTATTATACATGCAAATAAGAACTTTCCAAGGCTTTAATCCTAGCTAGCATATTATGAAGTCCTTATACTACAAAGTACTAGTTAGATGACATACCTTTTGATGTAGCTTGATATCTTCAAGATTTAAGAGCTTAGCCCCAATAGTATGGAAGCCTCAAATGGAATCACAAATCACCATAACACCTTGGAAGACTTTAGAGAATATGGATACTTGGTTCTTTCTAGTGAAATCAGCTAGCCCTTCTTAGTGTACCACACTAGTGCCAATTTCACCAACCAAGGACATCTTTATATAGTATGGAGATTAGGGTTAAACCCATGACCTTTCATTTCATATGATACGTGGGTTAAACACTCCATGGACTATCCATGAAAGCTTAGCCCAACCTAAAAGAACTTGGCCCATTCCATATATATAAGAGTCCATATTTAATTAGTTCATTTTGATCACTTAATTAATTCTAAATTAAGTCTTGATCAATATTAATTAAATAATATGATTCCATATTAATATATTAGAACTTATAATATATTAATATAAATCATAAATATACTATTCTCAAAAGACTATCCATATAAATTGTGTCGGTGAAGTGCAACCCAAATGGACCATGCCGGGTCGGGTCAAGTACATACCAAATATAGTTATGGACTTAGACATTAATGCAACAGGTATATCATTTTCCGTTGTATATTACACATATCTATCCACTCTTTCCATTTTTCTTTTAATAAACGAGGTTTATGATTCAACGTATGAAACCACATGCTGATGAGATCTCGCAATAGTATGCTAGTGAATGAATGTTTTAGCACACATTATTAGGAGACATCACAAGCTAACTATATGATCATCATAAATTCATTCGCTGATCGTTTAAGCGGATGCTCACTGTTGCTGATGACTTGTCTTACTGATGTAACTTCCTTGTCTCAATGATAATGTTTTGGATAACTTTTAAAAAAGATTCTTCATTATCTTAGGATATGAGATCTTTACGGCACATATATCGTCACTCACGATTACGTAAAAAAGAAGAATTTTTTTGGGTATAAATTGCAAATTCTTCATCCTAGGTCACTTTTACAAGAAATTCAATTAAGCTCTCTATCTAAAAAAGACTCCAATTCGTCATCTCCCTTAAAGCAGTTACAATGTCAAAGTCTCGTACAAGTTTTTCCCCAGTGCTAACATCATCAAAGGCCCTCATGCTCCTGACTCTACCATTATCATTCAATAGAAAATTTTGGCATTCTCGGATGAAATCCCAATGCATTTTGCAAACTCAGGAATCGAGGACTTTTTCGACTATGTCATGAGCGGTCCTATTCGATATGCATTATGTGATCTCCCAAATCCTTTCTACATTAAACAAGTATGTGAGTTTTACTATACGTGCTCTATTGATACTGTTGCTCGAACCATCACTGGAACCATTAGAGATAGTCAATATATGGTTATCATTGATGTTGAATCCTTTCAAACCGCTCTTCGTCTTCATCGATTCTAAAGTTACTTTGAAAAATTAGTGTATAAGTTTCAACTTCCAACCCTTACTCATGATCCATACAGAAACACTCTTCGTCAATGTTTTAATGTAGGGTGGAAGTACTTAACATGTGTAGTTGGCAGATGTCTTGGACACAAGACTAAGAGTTTTGGATCAATTGAATCTCTTTGAAATAAGGATTTCATACTCCATCGTTTACAAAAAAATAATGGGCATTGCTCAAATTTTCTTGATCAAGCGATTGACTGCATTACTAGAAACAAGAAGTTATTGAATGTTCCTTATCCTTATTGGCTTGGATTGATCTTATATCGAAAAGAAGGATATGTTGAAATTCATGGAATTATTATTCCAATTCCCTCCCTTTCCTAAAAAATTGTCAGTGTTGTTCAATCTCAAGGTGATTTGCTTATTACTGCAAGGATGCAAAAATGGATTGAAAAACCCTATGTAGTTGAATCCTCAGACTTTGAAGAGGATAATGATAATGATGACACTAGTAATAAAGAAGATAATGATGATGAGGATGATTATAATAATGATGATGGTGATGAAGAAGATAATGATGATGATCCATAAGCTGGTAATAAAGAAGGGGCTGACGAGGAACAAGACACTAATAAAGATGAAAAAAGAATCAGCAGCTGACATGTGAGAAGAATTCACTTAGAAAATGAACGCTCCTCCAAGGCTGAACAAGCATATTCATTTTTAACTACTTCTTCATCCTCTTCCTCTATTGATGACATTGTACCTTGTGGATCAACCCCTCTTTTTAGAGATACTACTAAGCCAATGATCCAAGATGAACTTTCTCCAAAACCATCTCTTTCTCCTTAAGCTGATAATGTTCCTCAAGCTGAGACTATTTCCCCTACGCCAACACCCATTATTATTGCTGCTCTTCATCAGGGTGATAAGAATCATCGAGCTCCAACTTTCAAAGTGTTGTGCTTTTCCACCTTTCTCTAATTGTGCAGACTACTTAGTCAATGAACAGACGGTTAATAAAAGTTGAAAAGGATGTGGCCATAATGAAGCTATGTATGGCTTTATGTGATAATGATGATATGGTTGTCTATGATACCCCGCCAAGCTCTCCAGGTGATCAATCTACTCCACCTCTACCTCCGTTAATAAATCGTCCTCCACCACCTCTTCCACCATCTTATCCTTCTTCGAACAAAACTTCTCCTCCTAACTCTCCTCCCCAATCTGATGCTGCCAGAAAGGGGAGAATAATCAAGAGGGGTAAGTGGTATTTGTATAAAATCGATCTCAACATGAGATGACTGGAAGGGTTGAAGCTGAAGTTGATCCTCTAAAGCAGATTGTTGTTACTGATATTATAGATGCCGATGCTACAACTAATCAAAGACTAGTAACTAATTAGAAACTGATAACTATGAAAGGTTTCCTGATCTTGGTTTCATGTAACAAGCTGCTGTTCTTGCTGTTTGATTAAATGTTGTCTATCCTAGCTCTTGTTTTGAGGGGGAGCTTATGATGCTGAAGCTAGAAGCTCTTCTGTTGCTGCAGGTGATCTTTCAAAATCTCCTCCTAAAAGTAAAATCAAACTTATCTTTGATCTAAATGAATTATTGGGAACATGGAGTTTACCCATTGAGGAAGTTAGAGAAATAATGGTAGAATATAATGCTGCAGTTCATCAACAGAAAGAATAAAGAAAACCAGAATGTTTGCCTACCAAACTTGCTCAAGCTCTTGCCTCCGCTGATGAGAATACAGATATTCAAAGCACTAATAATCAAGTCAAGAAAATATTCAATAATAATGTGGAGAAACAAAAAATTGTTTCAGACCTGAATGGTCGGATTGATAGGAAGAAGTTTGGAGATCTTCTTACTCGCATGTCAACGCCTAACCCTATCATCAAAGCGAGATGCACCAAACCGAGGAATGAGTCACTGAAACTTCACTTGGTTACAAAGAAAACAGAATATGAATACACAGAAGTTTTTTATGTTCACGAGCTAGTCAAATTTGGCTACAATGAGTAGACGCAAATTCAAGGAAATATTGACAAACACAAGGGTGTTCATGCTCAAGACGTGAAGTTGACAATACAGTAGCTACTCAAAAAAGTCAAGAAGCTGAATCTTGTGCCATCAATTGGTACATCATCAGCTGGTTAATTAAGACCATCCTCCTCAGGCAGAACTGGTGCTGCCAGACAATCCAAAAATACCAAGTTTCTTATTCCTTATAAAACTCGATATATCAGTAATGAACTACCAGTGGGTGCTGAACCAATCCAATATATGTTCATTCTAGAACCAGAGCATGGGATATTTTAACATGATAGTCAGAATCATATGTACCTTCATCGCATTGATAACCTTCCTTCTGCTCCTACTAAACGTTTGTTTCATCTTCATATGGAAGGACGATGTCACTATGAACTGGAAAGAGGATATCGTGTGATGATATCACTAGAGCTTATTAGAAGACCGGATGAACTTAAACTTGATCAATTCAGACGGATCAAGCTTGAAATCTTAAAACAAGCTAACAAGTTCTATAGTGGCTCTTCCGATGAATCTGAAGAAGAAGCTTAGTTTTGACATCATCAGATTGGGAGATTGTAAGTTCACACCTTATGATATGATGACTCAAACACACAACATGATGATATATCAACATCAACATCTACACATTGATAGCGTCAGCATATTAATGCTAACAATGTTACCTTACAGTTTAGTTATCCGATTGTAACCTTTTGTATATTAGGTAACGATATAGATAAGTATAGAATAGACCACAGATTCAGTATCTTTGTGATAAGATTGATGATTAGTATACATTAGATGCAATCCCTTCAATCAAGGGATATACATGTATAGATTAGTATATATCCAACATTAGGGCAAACCCTAATTTTGTGATCACGGATTTTTGTCAATCGCCTTTGTGACAAACCCACCTTCTTGTTGAAGGTAAAGCTCTTTCTTGGTGAAAGAACACTTTGGATTAGTTCTGTGTTGTTACTTTCTGTTTATTATTTTTCTTATATTAGTTTTACGTTTTTTACTCATACATGAAGTGTATCTGATCGATACAAACCTTCAAATCTGCCAAAATGTCAAAGCTTTGTTGCAGGGATTAATATTTGTCAAAATGTATGAACTTTGTTGTAGGGACTAAATTGGCCAGAAATATAAAACCTTTGTTATATGGACTAAATATGACAAAATATAATTTTTTTGTGGCAAAACTCTAAAAAAGGAAAACTCTATTATTCCTAAGGGCTATGTGTTTTAATAGTGAATTTTATGTTTACATGTTTCGGTTTTTCTTTGCTTTATATATTTATTTATTATTTTTTTTTATCATTTGTTGGTTCTATGAAAGTTTGTATCGATCAGATACACCTTAAGTATAATTAACAAAGAACTAATTAACTAAATGAAATAAAGAACATAAAAGGTAAAGAACACAAATTAAACACAAAGATGTCTTTCAACAAGAAAGGGGTTGTTCTCACAAATAGATCGAATGTCACAAAGACTACGACCAAGACGTTAACATTAGGGTTTCACCCTAATGTTGAATATATACTAAACTATACTAGTTTGCCCCTTTAGTCAAGGGATTGTATCTAATCTACATATAAATAGATCCTTTTCACCAAGATATCAAATTTGTTATGTATTCTATACATAAATGTATAATTTCCTAATATATAAAGATTACATACGATTACTTTCTAGATGAAGTGTATGATAAGGTATTGAGATGCTGGCACTGGTGCTGATGATGGAGCTGGCACTGAAGGTCAGCGACTAAGGTGTTTGTCTCATCAGATCATAAGGTGTGACCTTAAAATCTCCCCCATGTGATGATGTCAAAACTAATCTTCTTTAGATTCATGAAAAGAACAATTGTAGGATTTATCAGCTTCTTTCAAGATTTCAGGCGTTACCCACCCGAGTTCATCAATTTGAAGATTTTCTAATCTTTTGCTAAGCTCAAGAGAAATCAGCACACATTATCCTCTTTCAAGTTCTATATGAAAATTTCCCTCCATGCGAAGATGAAATAAATGCTCAGTGGGTGCAGCTGGAAGATCATCAGTGCATTATAAATACATATGTTTTGACTATCAAGATAATAAATACCGTGTTTTGGTTCTCGAATGAACATGTGCTAAACTGGTACTGGTTTAACACCCACTGGTAGTTTGTTGTTGATGTATCAAGTGCCATATGGAAGAAGAAATTTGGTATACTTGGACATTATGGGGGTGCCTGTTCTTCCTGAAGTAAATAGCTTAGATGGACGACCTGATGACACAAGATTCAACTTTTTGACTTTGTTAAGCAACTGCTAGTTTCATCTCCTGAACTTTCCAACTTCGTGCTTCCTAAATTGGATGGTTTAGATGGACCAGCTGAAGTGGATGGTTTAGATGGACCAGCTAATTTCACCTCCTGAGCATGAATACCTTTATGTTTTTAAATAATCTCCTAAATTTGTATCCACTTGGTATTACCAAAATTTACTAGCTCACAAGCAAGCACAACCTCATTATATTCACACTAAGTTTTCTTCTTGACCAAGTGATGCTTTAATGACTCGTTCTTTGGTTTATTGCACCTTAGCCTAATGATGGGATCAGGTTTTGATCTATGATCTAGAATATCTCCAAACTTCTGTCTATCCATCCTATCGTTCAGCTCAGAAACACAAACATATTTTTCCATATTATTGTTGAATAACTGAATGTTCATGTTTTGAACATTGGAGCTTTGGACATTAGAACTTTCATCAGTGGAAGCAAGAGTTTGAGTAAGTTTAATGGACCGACGTTCTTTTTTCTAATTCGAATAGCGGCATTATGCTCCATCATAATTTATCTAACTTCCTCAATAGTTATGCAGTGACCTTGCATTTCATCTATAGTGAACTTGCATTTCATAAAATGAAGGGACGAAAGGATCACCAATGGAAGAAGAGCTTCCAGCTTCAGTATCATTGGCTCCCAGTGAGAAGGAAGCCTTCCTTTTTCAAAGATTGAGTTGTTCATCCTCATATTCTATGTTGCTATGGGTTCCTTGAGGAATCTCCCCCTCAAAATATGAATCAAGTTAAACAATACTCAAAGGAATAGAAACTTGTGCCATAAACCCCAAGTTGAGAAACCCTTAGGAGTCATCAATCTCAGATTGATCACCAACGTCTGGGATAGGTTGATCACTATTTTGTTGCATCAGTGTCTGGGATGTTGCTCCATTGTTCAACTACAACTATTGCTTTTTGATTATCATCCATACCCGATTCAGATATTTTAGGAAAAGTTGGAGTTGTTGCAGTGACCATTTGTTGATCATTTCTTCCTTAACTATTGCCCCCCCTATTGGCATCATCAGTATGGGTAGGGGAACCAGGTGGTGGTGAAGGAGTGTGAGTCGGGGGAAGAGATGGTCCAAGGAGGAGGTGGAGGTGGATTTGATGATGAATGTGGATGTAGTGGTGGAGGATTATCACCTAGAGAATATGGAGGAGTATCTTCAATAACCATATCATCATCCTCATCATCACCCAAAATTATAAAATGTTTCATATCAGCCACATCCTTTTCTACTTTAGTCAGTTTTTTTTCCCAATAATTGAGTTATCGGCACCAATAGAAGGAGTTGAGAGATCATAGTAGTTTGAAATTTGGAGCTGGATTCCCCTTGATAAAAAGAAGTAGTATGAAGAGGTCTCACTATAGGAGGAACATGTTTAGCTTGTTGAGAGGGACACACTGACCTTAGAGAAATCACATCTTGGATCAGTAAGACAGTGGTTTCTACTTGAGGTAGGGTTGATCCACGTTGTACAACATCATCTACAGAGGAAGTGGATGAATAAGTAGATGAGAATCGAATGTGCTTCTTCAATCTTGGAGGAGAATTCATTCCCTAAATCTATTGGAATGATTTCTCCATGATTAACATTGTAAACTTCTTCATCACAAGCCAAAATCAGCCCAAGCCAACGAGGAAGAGGAACATACGCTGGATTTTTGTTCCCAGTGATACAATCAATCAATTAATCAAGAAAGAGTTGAGCAAAATCTAATCTTTTGTTCCACACCAAGGAATAAAAAATCCCTTACTAAATAAGATTCAAATGATCTAAGCTCCCAGTCTTGTGTCCAAGGCATTTACCAATTAACCATGATAGGTACTTCCACCCTACACCAAAACACCGAGGAAGAGTGTATTTGGATGGATCACAAGAGGTGCCCGGAAGGGAAAAGTTATAACCTAATTTTTGATGAATTGACTTGCATTTTTCTGATGAAGGCATTTCATAATAGTTTTCTGATCAAGGAAGAAGAATAACAGTTCGAAAAGATTCCATGTCAATAGTAACCCTAGATTCACCATCTAATGGTTTTGGTAATGATTTGTGTCACACCCGCGGTCGCCGGCGGATATTCTAAGATGCACGATGTAAATCGGTGATAACAGTTATTAGACATACAATGAACATTATAAATAAAATCTTTTATTATTACCAAAATAGAAATTACGTTGACAATAGCTATTGCTAAATCGAGACACACGCTTAATAATCCAGTGTTTACAAATGCATGATTAAAATAACAAAGGGTCTTCTGTAGGAACCCTTCCAAACTTATAAACAACCTAAGAATACATGCATTAAGACATGCCAACAAATTTGTTGATGAGTTCTACAGGTTTTGACACAATGTAATTTTATACTCAAAAACATTTTATTAAATTTATCTAGTTGACCAGCTTTTATAAATACGTACTTTTGTACACCACATAATACTATCTATATGGCAACTTTGTATCTTGATCTTCAGATTTATAGATCCTTACTCCCAATCCCTTGCATCGTTTCCTTCTTCATTAAGGATCATCTGGAATTCTCTTGCCTTCGGCTTTCACGGCACATTCAACCTTGCTGCTTCATTTTTTTCGGGCAATCTTTTGACATATGCCCTTTGTCTCTACATCCGTAGCATACCTTATCATTAAACATACGATCCTTGGAATAATGACTGATCCTCCCACACTTACAACAAGTCACCTCTCTGTAGAATCTCCCATAGTGCTTCTTTTTGCACTTCTCACACCATTTTTCTTCATTGCTATCCCCATGCCTCTTGTTGTTAGGTTCATACTTCGGAAACCTATTTTTCTTGTTAGATCTTGAAGACTCCTCAAATTTCCTCTTCTCTCCAACCTCAACCTTGTTTGCGGTTCTGGCTTTGATCATCTCTTCGACCAACTTAGCAACCTAGATTGCTACCACAATAGTAGGTACCTGGCGTACTGGCACAATGTACTCCCATGTTAGTCCCTTTGTATACTTATCAAATTTTGTTAGCTCATCTAGGACAATGCACAATGCAAACTCCATCATGTCTATGAAGGCATTGGTTTACTCATCAATGGACATGTTTCCCTTTTTCAATGTCAGAAACTGGTTCTATGTCTCTAGCATGTTTTGAGCTGAGCAGAACTTATGTTTAAAGTGTACCAAGAATTCTACCCATGTCAGTTGTAGTGGCTCATTGTGGCTTATGATGTTTCTAAAACTGTTCCATCAATGAACAGCTCCACCCTAAACTAAAGCACATCATAAGTGGGTTGCAGCTTGCCTTTGCAACCACATGTTACGAAAACTACCCATGTCAGTTATAGATCCTTACTCCCAATCCCTTGCATCGTTTCCTTCTTCATTAAGGATCATCTGGAATTCTCTTGCCTTCGGCTTTCACGGCACATTCAACCTTGCTGCTTCATTTTTTTCGGGCAATCTTTTGACATATGCCCTTTGTCTCTACATCCGTAGCATACCTTATCATTAAACATACGATCCTTGGAATAATGACTGATCCTCCCACACTTACAACAAGTCACCTCTCTGTAGAATCTCCCATAGTGCTTCTTTTTGCACTTCTCACACCATTTTTCTTCATTGCTATCCCCATGCCTCTTGTTGTTAGGTTCATACTTCGGAAACCTATTTTTCTTGTTAGATCTTGAAGACTCCTCAAATTTCCTCTTCTCTCCAACCTCAACCTTGTTTGCGGTTCTGGCTTTGATCATCTCTTCGACCAACTTAGCAACCTAGATTGCTACCACAATAGTAGGTACCTGGCGTACTGGCACAATGTACTCCCATGTTAGTCCCTTTGTATACTTATCAAATTTTGTTAGCTCATCTAGGACAATGCACAATGCAAACTCCATCATGTCTATGAAGGCATTGGTTTACTCATCAATGGACATGTTTCCCTTTTTCAATGTCAGAAACTGGTTCTATGTCTCTAGCATGTTTTGAGCTGAGCAGAACTTATGTTTAAAGTGTACCAAGAATTCTACCCATGTCAGTTGTAGTGGCTCATTGTGGCTTATGATGTTTCTAAAACTGTTCCATCAATGAACAGCTCCACCCTAAACTAAAGCACATCATAAGTGGGTTGCAGCTTGCCTTTGCAACCACATGTTACGAAAACTAGCTCCATTTCAGAGATCCAATCCATAACTCATATTGGATTTTCTTTCCCAATAAATTTGATGGTTTTCAAGTTGTGAAGTCTTTATACTTGCATCCATTCCTTTCAATTCCTTCGTCATGGCTATTTCTTCTAACCGCTGGAGGTTCAACTTGACTAACGGTTCAACTATAAATTCCTTCTTCTTACTATCCTTCATTCAGCCCAGGTTTCACAATGGGTACAATAGGTTCATTCCTATTGAGCAACATTTGTCCCATCTCCTCCTTTTATTCGTCCATCATAGCCTGAATCATCGCTTGGACTCCTGCCATCGTGATTGGCTCGGGTGTAACTTCTACCTTTTGTGCACACTCAATCACTTGTTGGTTAGGCTGCTAGTTACCGTTTTGCAATATTCTTCGAGTTCTATCCATGTCAATAATCAGTAATTCGGTGTGCATGGACGAGAATTATGATAGGAAAGCTTTATTTACAACAGACATATAAATCTCTTTATCATTCCGAAAGGTTACATGCCAGTTCTAATATCATATTCGAACGTTTAGAAATCTGAACACATAAGGTTTCTAGATCCTGTAAGCAATAGACCAGGCATCTTTATAGCTATAACATAAATCATTAGCATATAAGAGTATTTAGGCATCTTTACCAAACTAATCTAGTGCTTGTGTCTAAAATATAGCAGACACTCATCTCACAATCATCGCTTAACATTCTAAGTTTAAGCCTCGAATTCCTATAAATTTCTAGTTCGCTTAAACTAATGCTCTGATACCAATTACGAAATCCCCAAATTCAAGGTTATTTTAAAATTTTTATGTATGCTTATTTAAAAATCAGAGTATTCTTTTTGAAGAATAATATTGAGGAATTTGTTCCTAGAAAAACATGATAATAACATCATCAAAACATTTTTGAATAAATGTATTTAATTTATATTAAAACATTAGGATGTTATGTTCAATACAAAAACATAAGCATAATAGACCCTACATTCATTTACACTAATAATTTACATCTCCTTTAATCTCTCAATGTAATGTGTCTTCATATCGATACCTATGACACAATAAACTGAGTGGATCAAGTTGGGAAACCTGCTGAGTATATAGGGTTTTCAACCCACAATAGTATAATTATTATGTTTAATCATCAAACAATTAACCAAATTTCCTATCCTCATTATCTTCTTTATTCTTAAGGATATTTCCTAAGAATAATCTATTCTTCGTGTATTCATTCCTAAGGATTATCCTAAGGAATAGGAACGATGTCCATCACTTCCAGGATTTATCTAACAGACGCTAAGTCCGTAGCTGCCAATGTTCATTCATAAGGTACTAAGTCTATAGTTGCAAATGTCCATCTATAGGGCACTAAATCCGTAGCTGCCAACGTTCATTTTTAAGGCACTAAGTACATAGTTGTAAGGTTTTTTAGAGTACATCTGGTGAACACATCGATAATATTCTAATTCTGAGGTATTATATTTGTATATGTTTATTTATGAGTTTATTGGGTGACTCGACAAGTTGGTGCCTCAACTCGTCGAGTAGAGTCGAATTGGCCACGTGACTTTAATAACCAACTCGATGAGTCAGAGATCTGACTAGCCGAGTTGGTGTTGTGAGGTAAAATCCTAAATCTTTGGGGTTGGGGCCTATTTAAGGAGATTATGTCCTCATTTCCGCCTCACCAGCTATCCAACTCCCTTGTATGAAACCCTAAACGTTTGTAGTGAGCTAAGAGAGTTATAGAGCTAATCCTTGAATATTTTAGTGCATCAGTTGAGGAGAAGAGAAGAATATCAAGAAAGGAACAAGGAGGAGCTGTTGGATCTAGTGCTATTTTGTCCAGAGGTTCTGTGGAAGGTAAAAAGCCTAAAACTTTCTCATTATGTTGGTTAAATCTCATGCTTGTGGAGTTTAGGACTTTTAGCACCTTTTATTGGGGATTTGAGTGTATTGAGTTTATTAGGAGGTCTATTCTTCAGATCTGGACCTTGTGAGGTCCCTAGAGTCGAAAGGTCCCAACTTTATCCAGCCATAGGAGAGCCTTTGTGCTTAACACCCTTGTTAGAGCTTGTATTGGCATTATTGAGAAAATATGCCATGCATGAACATAAAGATCGAAGCTTTACGTAACAATAGAGTCTTGGAAGGCTAGATCTAGAGTTTGGAGTGGTTGATCTACCTTAAAACATTTGAATGAGGATACAGACTGAAGGCACACACCGAGTCAATGAACTAACTCGACGAGTTGGTTGGGGTTTGTCCCGATGAGCTTGATCATGCGATAAATCGATGAGCTGGAGGGTCAACTCGATGAGTTGATTTGGAATTTCATGATACTACTGAGGAAATGAGAGGACTTGACGAGTTGCATAAATGCACTCGACGAGTTAGGTCCATATTG